AACCAGAGCCATTACTATTAGAACCAGTTACACAGAGAACCTGACTGCTGCAGTGCCCACACAGCAGTAGCATGCAGCCTATAATCTAAAGAGAAGCCTTATCCAGTCCCAACATGGCGGCACCCATGCACGTGGAGTCATCCAACATGGCGGCACCCAAGCATGCAGGGTCATCCAAGATGGCAAAGCCCGTGCATGCTCTGTCCTCCAGGTGGAGCACTCACGTGGCTCATCTATTTTACCTACAATGGCAGTACCCTGACTCTGGTTCCGCCCACTTGCGAAGGTCTCAGGACTCTGGTTTCAGGAGCCCAGGAAGCCCCCAAGGCCCCCTCCACCTTTGGGTGTGGAGGCACCACAAAGCCACCCTCCACCCATTGGGGTGGTTTACTGAGGCTGCAGTCACCAGTGGAGGCGGGGCAGAGGTCCCACCCACCTCTGAAGGTGGGTGCCCTGTGGCTTCGTTTTCGGGAGCCAAAGCAGCTCCTGGCAACCCCTGCTGCAGTGGGTGAGCAGAGCCTACTTGCAGAGGCTGCAAATCTATGGTAGAGACTTCTCCCACTTGCAGGGCAGGAAAAGCCATAGTGGGCCTCACCTCCCTAGAAAGCAGTGTCACCACGTGAGTTACTGCTGTCTGGGGTCCCCCATTATCTATTCTGAGGATGGGAGGAGGTTTCCCAAAGACTAATCCACACGGGGCATAGCCTGAAGGGCTAGGGGCACTCCCAACCCTAAGCAGCGCCAGTGGCAGCAAATCAGTCCAAGACAATCTAGCCTCCCGGTAGAACCCAGCCAGAGCTTCCCTGAGGGTCCGGTCCATGTGCTCCAGCCTTCCCGAGCTCTGGGGTCAGCACGCAGTGTGCCCACCCTGCCCCGACCTGCACCCCTTCTTCATGGGCACCCGGCACCCTGTCTTCATTAGCAGTTCAAACAGCTGGCAAGGGCCTTCCCAGCACCGGTCTCAGGTTGCTGCGGCTGAAAGGAGGTTATCTACACACCGATAACACTGGGTCAGTCTCCTTCTCAGTAAATGATTTTAGATCTCTGGCCAGGGCCTCTCCTAGGGGAGTGGGAGAGTTTCTGAAGCCCTGTAGCAGTCTGGTCTGGGTCTAAGCCAGCTAACCTGAGGAGTTTTGCAGCATGCAATCTAACACAGTGGAAGATCCCCTGCCCGTGGTGATCCTCCCAGAACGACGCAAACAAAGGGAAGGGGGTTTCATTTCGCCCGCCTGGCCTGCTCCCTCACGGGATGAAGTCGGTCTTGGCTAAGGTTGCCCCAGCAGAATTTGGGGTTAGCTGCCAACCGTTATGCCGTATGACCTGACACAGGAACCGCAGGTTGGGGCCCACTCTTGCTCTGTAGGACCAGCCCGTGGACCCACAAACACAGTCACTCACACTTTCACTCTCAAGCACTCCGAGTTTAAACAATCCTTCCCTGGGTGAGGGTCAAGTGGTCGGACTCAGCATGAATCTGACCCAAACTTCTGATTTGAGGTGATCAGCCTCTTTATGGTCTCGGGTCAAGTCCCCGGGGCTCTTACTGATTTGGCGCCTCTGGTCTCGGGTCAGGTCATAGTCTAAAACCCTCCCTTCCCTCCCTGACAGCTGTCACCCCAACCGGACGGGGCCTGAGAATTCTCAGGGCACGCGCACCCCCGCTTCCTCAGTTGGACCTCTGGCTGCCTCCCCGCTTATCCATTCGGTGGCAGATCTGCCCGAATTTGTGTGAGGTCGCTTCCCGATCAGGGAACCAAATGTTATAGGAAAACGAAGCAACCAGACACCGAGGGATTCTAGAGTACGAGGTTTATTATTAACATGCACGGACCCAGAGGAGTCAATTTCCAAATTCTGAGCCCCGAACAAAGGATTCTTGGGGTTTATATAGCCTATAGGGTCTTCCTGTCTACGTAGCAAAGCGAGATACAGAAGCGGAATGCGGTAATTAGTTCTATCTACGGGGCAGAAGCAGAGGACAAAGGCTAAATGTGAAAATTAGTTCTATCAGTGGGGGTGCTAGTCCCAGTCCTTGTGACTATCTTGCTGTTTGCTTTTCCCAGAGGGCCTTATCACTCTCCCAGAGCGGCTAGGGTTTTGGGTGAACAAAGGTTTTCCAAAGCTTCCCACATCAGAAGTATAAGACATTCTGAGCTAGGGGTAAAGTTAAAGCACTTTGGAGCTTCAAAAAGTATTTAGGAATTTCAGGGAGAGCATGTGTTCAGCAATTATTACTTTGTCCTGCCATGTAGGTAGATAAAAGGTCACTTCTGGTGATAACTCTTAATGTGGGCCAGGTTCTTAAATTCTTCCGGATAGTGAGGGATGGGGGGCTGGACAGAAGTTTCATTTGAGCCTGCAGGGTCTTGGTTCCCTTTAGCTTGAAATAATCCACATACTGCTTAGGCACATCTTGGAGTTGCTTACTCTGAACCCCTACAAAACCTTGGCAAAATCTGACTTCTCTGACCTCATGCTATTTTTACCAGTTTTATACCTCAGATCACCCATCTTTATGTCTGTGATTCCAATAGCAGGATCAGGCTCTTGTCACTTTTCAGCTAGATTTCTGCACTAAACTGCTAAACTCCTCTCCTCCCCCAGTATATTCCCCTTTTAGTCAGTCTGGCCTGTTGAATCTTTTTGAAATCCCATGTGAAATCTTTTTTAAAGAAGTCAGAATAAAATTAGATTAATAGAGGCTTTCTCTGCCCCATCCTCCTCATTTCCGTTAGGGATCAGTGCTAATAAGCAAGCCTTTCTCTTCTTTATCTCTTCAAATGATGTCACCTATTGAAATCATCACTCAGAGCTGTGTCTAAGATCCTCAGCAAGACACCCAGGTGACTGTTTGAGGCTCACTGTTCTAACAAGCAAGAAATAACCTTTGTTTCTGAAACTGGTTACCAAGTACTTGCTCGAATTTTGTTTCTCTTTTTCCTACTCATGTTCTTCTAGTCCTGAGCTAACTATTAAGATACTGAGATTTCTTGTCCTGATGTGATGACTCAAACCTTCACTCTAAGGCATCTGAGTCACTGGGGGTACCTGATTTCTCTGGGCTTCTGTTACTTTTACTTCAAGGAGGTGCCCTTGGGTAGAGAGGGGAAGAAGCTTGCCCGGGGTTCTATAGCCAGTAGGTGGAGCCTGGCACTGATGTTATGGTTTAGTGGGGAGAGTGAAGGCTTTTAAATCCTTGCCCTGTTACTTAGATGTGGGATATTGGAAAAGTCGTTTAACTTCTCTCTAAACCCAAGTTTCTCAGCTTTAAGGAATGACAATATCTACCTGAAAGGACTGTTACGGAGATTAAACATAAGGTGCTGAGGTTATAATTCCTGGAAGTTTAGAATTTATCCTTTACCCTTTTCCTTTCTGGTCATCTGGTACCAGGCTCACTTGCTCAGTTCAAGGAGGGTGGGTTTTTACTTTTCATTACTCCTTCTACCTTTTAAAGCTGGGAAAGAGTATAAACATTTTGTTATTTACTGAAGTTTGTAAAATCTCTACTAGCTTTTTAAAAATATCAGTAGCCCTTAGTAGCAGGATGGATCTGGCAGCCATATCAATTGTGCAGATGAGGGAACTGCAGGCCTCAGATCCCCGGGAGGAAGCCAATCTGTGTAGCTGGGAGATCTGGAGATGGAATTTTCCACCATGTGGCCTTGGTTTTCTTATAGATGTTATAAAACTGTTCATTGGCAAGGGCTCAGGACAGTGAGAACTAAGCAAAAATTGAGTCTCCAGAAGAAAACATTAGGTCCCCTCTAATGTAGAAGGGGAACATCTATTGTCTTGTTGCCAACTCCTAAGTCATACTGTAGCAGTTTCCTCTCCTGCATTGAGTCTGCATTGGACCCAGCTGATAGAGAGAGCCTTCTCATTTGAGTATTTAAGTGTTTGTCCTGGCACAAACATCATATTTTTTCATCTTTAAAAAATGCATGGGAACAATAGGTGAATGCCAGCCACTTTGGAGCTGAGGGCAGCTGGGGCTTTCCTCTGTGCCTGAGGCCCTTGGACAGGCCCTGTGTGGAGTCATATTTGAGTAATCAACGTCCTGAGGTACTGCGGTTTCAAGTAAGTGAGTTAGAGTAGGGAATAAAGCAGGTGGGTTGGAAAAACAGTTTTAGGAAATCACTTTACATAGGAAAGAAAGAACAAATGGAAATAGACTAAAATGTTAATAGCAGTTGTCTTTAGATGGAAGAGCTAAGTAAAATATCTTTTAATTATTCTGTGGTTTCCACATTTTCTAAAGTGAGCACACACAGTATTGCTTTTATAATAGAAAAAAGAACTTTCAAATTGCCACTTTAAATTACTGGCAAATAGTGAAGTCCAGATGAAAAGTTGCCACAGTTTATAGTGTGATTAATAAACACACAAGTAGATACTAGTTAGGTTAGTGTTTTTAGAGTTAACTGGACCAAAGCACATCTGTAAAAGAGAGATTTGTAGATGCTGGCTGAAATGTGTGATAAAAGATTCAGTCCACCCCATTGCTTTTCGAAATGTAACTGGTAAAAAAATAGAATAAAATAAAAATTTTATTTCTGGGCATTGAGTAGCTTAATCAGGTTTAGAGGGTACCTGGGATCCCAGAAAAGAACTATATTCTTCTCTAGGCAGGTTAAGTTGTCACCCGGTTTGTGCTCGCTGAGTGGCACAGATGTTTGGGATGTTTATGATTGGCGTGTGAGGTCTGTAGTTTGAGGAGAGTTCCCGACTGGCATCCTCTGGGTCCTTCAAAGGAATGAGAAAAGCCTCCGGTCTTGCCCACACTCAGTGGGGGTGTGGGTTCTGCAAGGATGTGGATACCAGGAGGCAGAGGTCTGAGTCTGTCTGCCACGTCCGTCTAGTTTCTGTGTCTTCAGCACCCTGAGCAGTGCGAAACACATACTAACTTCTGATATTTGAATGAATGGCTGTAATGGGAAGGTTGTATTTCTACCTTCTAGTTTAAGCCTTTTTCTTCACTTCCTTTTCTTCTCTTTCAGAGTTACTGATTTATTTTTGAGAATCCTCTATTTTCATCTGTCCTCATGGATGAACTTCAGGATGTTCAACTCACAGAGATCAAACCACTTCTAAATGATAAGGTAAAGACTACTGTTTTCACTAAAATATAGAGATTACTCTTTTCACTAAAATGTCTTTTTTTTTCTATGATTATTCATTTTTATATTTTCTAAGTGGTAACTAACTCAAACCACATTTAGCTTGACTTTCTATAGAGGGAATACTTTTATTTTTTTTATTGATTGATTTTAGAGAGACAGAAATATCCACTTGTTGTTTCACTTATGTATGCATTTATTGGTTGCTTCTTGTATGTGCCCTGACCAGGGATTGAACCCACAACCTTGGCGTATTGTGACGACACTCTAACCAACTGAGCTACCAGGCTAGGGCTGGAGGGAATACATTTTAAAATACATTCTTTAACCATCTTTTTGATGCCTTTTCTCTTTTTTCTTTCTTCCTACTTTGCTTTGTGGACCAAATTCAGTCAAGTTATCCTTGAACTTTTCTTGTTTTGTAGATAGGGATAGTAAGGGATAAACTAATAGGCCAAGCGAAGTGGAACGTATAAGAATGGGGTTTAACTTAGAATCCAAGGGTCTTGAGCTTCAGCGTCTCTGAGGAAGACTTAACTAACATCCGTGGCTGGTGGGGTGCATGGGCAGCAACACTCTCCCTGAAGTTTGTCAGGTAAACAGTGTGACCCTTCTGTCCACATGTGGAGGTTCTCGTCAGGGATGCCTGGATGTCGGTATGAACCTCATTTTTGTGTCCGTGTGAGAGAACCACACAGAGGAAAGAGCGTTGTAATACAAGTCTCCGAAAGCTGAGAAAGCCTCACCCTCTCTCCGGTCCCCCTCTGTTCTGTAAGTGTGCCTGACATTCCTTCTCTCCGGTCCTCTTCCGGTTTATTGTCATTGCTCCATATTAAACATTCTTGTCGTTTGGTGTGGATGACGGCATGGCATTCCTTCCTGCGGGAAGTGTCGATGAGGAGTGAGGGTAAAGTGGGTGAGGCGGGGACTCGGGGAACACCAAAAGATGCTGTTGCCTGTCCCCTTTGTTGCCCGAAGGAAGGCCCTTCACCCACAACTTCCTGTGGCTGCTGACTTACTGTGAGTTTCATTCATTTGCTCTTGGATCCTGTCAGCCCCGTTTTCTTCCCTGTGATGTCGTCTGTCCATCCCCACTCTTACTCCTTCCTTCGTCTGTCACCAGATCTCTTGGTCTTTCCCTTGGCGAGCTGCACACTTTGTATAGCCCCCTTTGGTTCATTTTGCGGCTTCTCCCTCATGTTTTTTAAAAAACTTTCTTTTAAGTAGTGTCTTTGGTGTATGTAAAGGGCTGTCCCAAAAATGATGTGCCACAAAGAGGAGGAAGGAAATAAAATTCCTTCCACCTGCTTCTGTAAAGCTTATGTGTGTGGCCACAGAAATGAACAGTTACAAGGTAGGTGGAAGTAGGCAGTTTAGCTTCAGGAGGGTGGTAACCCGTCCTAAATCTGGCTGATCATCAGAATCGGCTGGGGAATTATTTAAAAATACAGATTCCTGGGTCCCCCCCAGACTAACTAAATTGGAATCTGAGGGGAGGAGAACAAGACACAAACACATACTCCTCTGTTATCAGTGGTCCTCAACTTTGGCTGCTTATTGGAGATTTAAAAATTACCAATGCCTAGGTCCAACTTCTAAAGATTTCTATTGGATTGTTCTAAGATGTGGTTGAGCTTCTTTTTTAAAAACTCCCAGAATTGAGAACCGTGACTAAAGTGATTCTGATTAGCCAATGTTGGAAAACTGAGATCTGACGGGTCTCAAATGTCTGAAGACTGAGACATGAGTAAGAGGAGGGCCCTCTTCTGAGCCTGGCAGTCCACAGGTGCCCGAAGAGGCACCTGCGCGAAAAGAGCTGCAGGAGTTGACCAGGTAGCTCAGAGACAATGCATATGGAAAAGGAAAGATTCTGTGACTGTGACTGTAAAAAAAGCACTGAGTTAATGGTGGCCTTTTAAGAAGAAGAAGAGAGAGAGACAGCGCCATGTGAGGACACAGCGAGACAGTGGCCGGGCAAGCCAGGAAGAGAGCTGTCTGCAGAATCAACCTGCCAGAACAGAATCTTGATCTCGTATTTCTAGCCTCCGGAATTGTGAGAAGATACTGTATTTTGCCGGGTACAATGTGCTCCAGTGTACAATGCACACCCATGTTTTTGGCCCAAACTATCAGGAAAAAAATCTTTCATTTTAATTTTTAAATTCAGCTATTTATTTATATTTAGAAACAAACTGATTATTATATTCCAGGGTATTATTTTGCATGTGGATATCATTATTGCTTTCTAGAGTTACATTTTTAACACATAAGCATAAATATAAGAATTAAAAGCATTTATGAGATACAGAATTAGCACTACCTGTGTATAATTCACCCCCTTATTTTTCCCTCAAAAATTTGGGCAAAAAAGTGCACATTATACACAGCAAAATATGGTAAATTCCTATCATTTAAGTCACTCAGGCAGCCCAAGCAGCCTAAGAAATCAAGTAATTAATGCCTTACTTCCTAACATCTGTTAGCTCCTCTTTGATATGCCTGTGCTGTTCCTACCCACTTCCCACGCTCCCGCTCTCTCCCTGGGAAGGACTGCTACCCAGTCACCGCACGTGAGAGTTCCCCTGCTCCAGCAAAGCTGCATAGAAATAGGTTGGCAAGAGGCCCTCTTCGGATGGTGGCCTTCCCCAACAGAATTCCACCCCCATTAGTACCCTCACTTCCACCCCGCCTCAAAGGATCACTGCCTCTGTCTTTGCCCAGCAAGTGCATCATTATACAAGGTATAATGATGATAATGCCTCTCATCCATTATTGCATTTGATCCTGCCAACAGCTTGGTGATATAGGACACAAATCAATTTATTCCTGTATTGCTGGTGAGGAAACTAAGGCTCAGAGAGGTGAAGCAGCTTACTCAGATTGAGTACCTGAGAATGCCTGCTGGAGAGTCTTGCCACTATTAATGTTTTGGAGTAGATCATTATTTATTGTGGGAGACTGTACTGTGCATTGTAGGGTGTTGAGCAGCATCCTTGGCCTTAGTCCACCGGATGTCAGTAGCAGCTCTCCAGGTGTGACAGTCAGAAATGTCTCCAGACACTGCCAACTGTCTCCTGGGCGCCAGGCTCTCCCCAGTAGAGACTCACTGCTATTAGGAGATAAGCTTTCAGGCCTGAATAGGAATAGGTAGATGTCTTGAGGTGTTTTCTTTTGGGGGAGATTTTTTGACTGTCTTGCTATTATTTATTAAGCACCTTTTATGTGCCAGGTACTTTACATACCATCTCCCTTTCAATCACCGGAGTATCCCATTGAAGTGGATGGTATTATTCCTCACTTAGCAGATGAAAGTCGGACTGAAAGGCCGGCTTGCCCAGTCAGTAAGTGGCAGAGCCAGGATTAAAACTTCTGTCTTTCCTACCCCAAAACCTGAGGCCTTTCCCCTGTGTTAGTTCTGTAGATGTTTTGGCATCGCCTCTGTGGCTTGCCCTGGCTCTTTAAGGGGAAGCCTAAAGGTGTGTGTTACTTCACTTCATCCCTGTCCCCCTTCTCCTCATAGACAGACTCGTAGCCAGAAACATTGCTACGCTCTTCCATCTTCCAGGCTTCGGGGCACTGGAGGACGTCAAGACCCAGTCTGGTATGGAGAAGTTTGTCCCGAGATGACTATAGGGAAGCATTCTCAAAATAGCTTTAAGCGAGGCTTATGTTAACTTTCCTCTTGTCATTTGTTGGTACTTTTCCCATTTAATTTTAGTACATCTGTGATTTTATCTATGGCTCAGAATTGTGAAGAAGTGGGTAATTTTATCATGTTTGTTTTCGCTCCACTGATGAAAAGAAGCACCCACTAGCACATATCTTTGTTTCGGGGGGCAGAAACTGCCTAGATATATGAAGCGGCTTTAAAAAATCACATTTAATTATTTTCACAATACTATTTTAATCTCTTAACCTCTTGTGAAATAAGGTATTTTTAACTCCATTTTATAGACGAGCCTCACAGAGGTTATATGACTTGTCCAATGTCAGCGTCTGGTAAGGTGGTGCAGCCAGGACTAGATCCAACACCTGCTGACATCAACTTGGATCGGGGGTTAGAGCTCTTCCTGCCATCTGCTGCCTTGTGTAGCTGGTAGTTCCTACCTTCTCGCCCCTAAAAGCCTTATAACCAGTAAAAGAGCTGACTGGTTTGTGCTTCCTTTCCCTGCCCTCTTCTACCTGCTGTTGGTTCAGATACGACTGAATCTGGTGATGGCCAAAGGCCATGCTTGAGAAGATACGTAGGGGGCCATAATTGGCTTCTGCAGAATTGAGGGAATATCAAGAAGAGGAATAAATATTTAGTAGGAAGACTAGAAGCAAATTATATACTTTGCTTTGGTTGTTACAGTGGGAAGTGAGGTGGTCTCTATGACAGTTTGTTTCTCCTTTCTACCCGTGACTAGAAATGTGAGGAGAGGAGGGTAGGAGGGAGAACCTAGGGGTGAGTTTTCTATAACCTTCCACAGCCAACGTAGGCGCAAAGGGTTAGTGCCATGTTTTCTTTAAAAAAAAAATTAAGCCCTGGCTGGTGTGGCTTGGTGGATTGAGAGCCAGCCTGCAAACTAAAAAATCTCAGGTTTGATTCCCAGTCAGGGCACATGCCTGAGTTGTGGGCCAGGTCCCCAGTTGGGGGGCGTACGAGAGGCAGTTGTGCCTCTCACCCCTCTGCGTTGCTCTCCTTCTCTTCCCCTCTAAAAATAAATAAATTAAAAATCTTTAAGAAATTATACTCTTTCATCATCAGTTTGTAGATAATTATCAAAGTATCTAACCTCTTTATAAGTTTCTTTATGAAGTGTTTCTTCTTTAATTAGTATTTTTAAAGGTGTAATATAGGTAATTAAAATACCTGTACACATACACCCATACAGATATATATATATAACTTTATAACTTTATAACTTTATATATATATACATATATATAACTTTAATTTTTATCTCTGGATTATTAGCTTGAACAGATTTCTGTTTAAAATAGTTCACTGATGATTGTAAAACATTGATTTATTAATTTATGTTAAGTGATTATAATACTCTATTACTAAAGAAAAATAGTATTTTCTAGGTTCATCTTACTCTTCTGCTCGTACAGTTCTCAACTTTTTACTTTCTGTTGGTAAGGATTATTGCCTTTTTATAAAATAGAAATGCCATATTTTATTGTCTAACAGTTTTTTAAAAATCAGCTTGTTCACTAAGTGCCAGGACTGAAAATATAATGGTGAATCAGACACAAGCCTGCCCGCCACTTCCAAGTTCATAGCACATCTATTTACCCAGTAGATTGACCCCCCGTCTCTTCCTCTCGGTAGTTAGTTCTGTGATCCTATATATCTTGTCACCCTTTGCATCATATCTGTTCCTTTCTGTCTTGTGAAACCGTATATGACTCTTGACAAAATCTCATGTTGGTAAACTACATTTTTCTTCTCCCTAGCAATTACTTGTTTGTTTGTTTTTTTAATTTTACTCCCTCCCTCCTTTTTTTCATACTTCTTTTCGTTCATTGACCTATTTTTAGTTGTGTTTTGCTTTCTCCAGGCTTGTATTTGAGAGATCACTTGTTTTGAATTCACCTTCAGGAGCTGCTTCACTTACCTTCTGTACGGGCATGAGGCTCCACCAGGAAACACTCCTCTTAGCTGGCCTGTACCTTGACTGCTGCTTTCAGTGATAATTTATCTTTTTCTTTGACTTAATCTTTTTTGCCTTTGCTCCAATTATTCTATTATTTAAATTTTTTCTTGACACCCTTTCTGCTACTTAAATCTGCTTAGTGCAAGAATCTCTCTGAACATGGAATTAATGGTATCTTCAAAATGGACAGAAAGAAAACACATAGAACTTGAAACTTCTAAATGTTTTGCTAGAGTAGCATCATGTGCCTGAAGTATGAGAGACACTTAAGTTCTCATGGAAGGGCCCCAAGGAAGTCTTTCTCCTTCCAGAATGCACCCAGTGAGTAGTGTTAAATTTTTATAAGTTCAAGGAATACTACTTCAGGAGACCACAGATTGAGTGGGGCCCAGCTAATGACCTCCATTCAGAAACTCTTGGTGTTAAATATTGTCATACACACCTAGTCTTACCCCTTCTCCAGGATGGTCACTCACAAAGCCTGAAGCTGTTCTCCATGAGATCCTGGCATCTCTTTGGGGGAAGGGGGAGCCAAGAAGACAAGTGTTAGACAGTCTCCCTTCAGTCGTTGGTACCTTTTCTTCTGGGCTTCTAGCTGTGTACATTGGATTAAGAACGCATAGTTACTTTTTGCTGGGTATTTAACAAAGAAAAGCTCGCTGTGGTTTCCAGCAAGAGTCATCTACCTTTGGCATTTCCCTTTGTGCTCATCTTAAAGGCTTCAAGGCTTCACAGAATGCTTCATGATGTGATCACATGATTGGGAGGAAAGGGAATTCATGCAGACAGTGATAGCTGCTTCCCAGATAGCTCATCAGAATTTGTGTCTCTGTTTTCTATGCCCAAGATTTCAGTCAGACTAGAATGATTTTCTCTAATCTTCCTAAATGATCTCTGAAGGAACCTCTGGGAACCCTGTAAAACCGAAGCCTTCATATGGTCTCTTTCTCTTTTTTAAAGATTTTATTTATTTATTTTTAGAGAGAGGGGAAGGGAAGGAGAAAGAGAGGGACAGAAACATCAATGTGTGTTTGCCTCCCATGCACCTGCTACTGAGGACCTGGCCTACAACCCAGGCATGTACCCTGACTGGGAATTGAACTGGTGACCCTTTGGTTCATAGACCAGCATTCAGTCCACTGAGCCACACCAGCCAAGACGTCTTTCTCTTTTTTTTTAAGCCTTGCCTGAGGATATATTAATTAGATTTAGAGAGAGAAACATTAATTGGTTGCCTCCCATATGCACCCCAACCAGGGATTAAACCTACAACCTAGGTATGTGCCCCGACCAGAGATGGAAACTGCAGCCTTTTGGTGTGTGGGACTATGGGACAACGTTCCAGCCCGTTGAGCCACCTGGCCTGGGTCCTACTGTGGTCTGTTTGACATCATTATAAGTTATTCCCCCTCCCAAATTAAATTAATCTTTAAATATTATATAATAAAATACTAAGTTACAGATACTGTATTTTGGTACCATGCAAAATCTTTTTTTTCCCAGTTTTCTGATTACAAAGGGAAAGTACATTCTCACTGCAGAAAAGGATAAGGAAATTATAGTCCCCTGTAATCTCTCTATTGAGAAATAGCTGCTGCTGTTGAAGGTTTTGGTATTTTTCTTCTCGCCTTTTAGTACATATTTTAATGCAGTTGTAGTAAAACTGTAAAGACTGTTGCGTATCCTTTATTTTCATTTAATGACCATATCATATCTTAAATTGCAATGCAATAGAGTTTTTTGTTATTTTTGACCTAAGGTCTTAACAAAAGTCTTTCAACATTTAATTTTTTTTGAGATTTTATTTATGTATCTTTAGAGGGGAAGGGAAGGAGAGAGGAAGAGAAATATCAATGTATGGTTGCCTCTCATGTGTCCCCTGATGGGAAGTGGCCTGCAACCCAGGCATGTACCCTGACTGGGAATCGACCCGAGATCCTTTGATTCACAGGCCCGCGCTCAGTCCAATGAGCAACACCAGCCAGGGTGGTCAACATTTAATTTTTTATATTGGCTTATTTGTTATATATAGTGCTATATCTATATCTCAAACACCTAATATATACCAGGCCCTGTGCTTTGTTTGGGGAAAGGTGCAAGTTAAATCAGGACCAGGGGCTCACCGTCTGGTTATTTGTATCCTACTCACACCATCTGCCCTAGTCCATGAGAGGGCTAAACACACATCCCGACAGACCAGGGTGGACGGCTCACCTCCAGTTGTGTGTGCAAGAAGCAACCAGTAAAGCGTAAATAAATGAAACACAAATGGATCCCTCTCTCCCCCCCTTCCTCTCTGTCTTTAAAAATCAGTAAAGAAAAATGAAACACAGTGATTTCTCGGAAGGAGTTTTCAGGCAATTTGGGGGCTACTGGGAGCCATGGCACACTATAGTCCTTTTTACTGATGGCTGCATTCCTTGGAAATGTGCTGCACAGTCCCATCTCCGGGGTGTCTTTGTCGTCTTTCCACGCTCCGACTAGTTTGTGAACTGGCTTCCGTGCCAGGAGTAACCTCCGACTAGCCGCCTCTGCCCCTCTCTGCCGTTTCCACTGTCATCAGCAGTCTCACTCTGCGATTGGCAGTCTGTTGCAATTTTACTGCCACCGATGGAGAAATAAGGTCTGCTCATCGATAACGTTATTCCTTCAAAACTCAGTCTCTAGATCAGCTAGCTGTCCAGTAGGAGTCTTTGCAGAAATGGAGGTGGATCTGCCCCGCCCAGTGGTATTGTCACTACTAGAGCCACGTGTACATGCTGAGCACTTGAAGTGTGGCTAATGTGACTGAGAAACTGAATTAAACTTTTTATTTTAATTTCCACGTGTGACTAAGGGCTGTCATACTGGATAGTGCCACTCTAGGCCATCCCAGCTGGTGGAGGACAGTTTATTTCTCTGGGCATTTTTATACCACATCTCTGTTTTGCCCTGCCAGCAGCGTAGGCAGTGGGGTACAGAACTCTTTCTAAGAGGATCTTCTTGAAGGCGGGTGGGCAGTTTGTGGTCAGATCGCTGAGTCCCTGGAGGGGCAGTGTTTGGAAAGTGCTTGTTAGCAGCTCCACACCTTCTAGAAACATTGTAAGCAGAAGAGATATTTTATGTTGACATAGTTTCCAAACAAACAAAGGTTTTTTTCAGGGGAGGGGCTTTATGAAAAATTAAATCAGAAGGTTTTTTTCCTTCCCAAACACAATATTCATTACACTTTTTATACTCTCATGCCATACTCTCTCACTCTAACATCTAAAATGCTTCAAAAATGTCTCTGAAGCCCTGGCTGGTGTAGCTCAGTGGATTGAGCACGGGCCTGTGAACCAAAAGATCATGTTTCAATTCCCAGTCAGGGCACATGCCTGGGTTGCAGGCCAGTTCCCAGCAGGGGACACACAAGAGGCAACCATACATTGATGTTTCTCTACCTTTTCCCTTCTAAAGATAAATAAATAAATTTAAAAACAGTCTCTGAGTCATTGCCATTGATTTTTTTTTTTTTTTGATCAAACATTACTGTGATACAATCTCTTTTTAGAAGCGTGGTGAATTCTCCTTGGGTGTTTTGACTGTGTTCTGCTTCTGCAGTTTTGTGGGGTGTAACAGAGTATAATAGGCCAGTGTATTAGGAACCCTGTTTTGTTTTGTTTTTCCTTCCCTCCTTCTGTGACACTGCCTTTCTTCCTTGTTCAATTTCAAGTCTTCCATTTCCGATCCATCTATATCTTCGTTTTCCACTTAACCCTTTCTCTAATTCCTAGTTCTGGACACTCTGGCTCCCGCCCTCCCTTGTTCCTTTCAGGGTGGTCTCTCCCACTCCTTTCCTCCCAGGTACTTCTCTGTAGGTTGTAAATTTGCTGTCAGACTCTGATCCACATCTTATACCCTCTTCCTGCTGGTTGTCACTACTCTCCTTAGATAGGGAGGCAAGAAGTGACACGCTTTCCTGCGAAAATGGACTGCTTTCTTTTATCTTCACAGCAAGCCCGCCAAAGTGTAACCTTACCTCTGAACACTCACCTTTTACTAACACATGTTAGTAGACCTGCCTCTGAAGCTGTTTGATGAGAAGAACCATTATAGTTTTATGGCAGCCAGGAGGCTGCACGTGTACTGCTTTCATTGTGCGTCGATTTTGCGACACATTTGGGGAAGCCACATGGGGAAACTGACTGTGTTTTCTGCCTTCTGTTGACAGAATGGGACTCGAAACTTCCAGGACTTTGACTGTCAGGTAAGCTCTGCCCTGGCACCGGGGCGGGGGGGGGGGGGGGGTGTCCAGGTTCTCTGCAATGCTCCCTCCCCAGGCTAGTGGTCCTGTAGAAGGGGCGCTGTCTCCACAGCAGCTGCTGCTCCTTCGTGTTCTTTTGGTTATTGAATCAAAAGCTTTTAAATAATCTACTATTATATTAAAAATATGTCTGCCAGGCACCTGTTTTATGGTTGTGGGTTACTAGGTTGAGCTATTTCTTTGTGATTAAGATTTCTTTTCCTCAAGAGACAAGTATTATTAATACAAAATGCAAATTTCTCTTGGTTTTATGCTTAAAATACAAAATTCCAGTTGACTCATTAGTATTTTCTTAAATGATACTGTTCTCTTTCTGGTCTTTTTTTTTTTTTTTTTTTTTTTTTTTGCCCCTGGCTCTATTGCCAATTTAAAAATTAATAAAATGAAACAGCATCTCTTCATCTGTCTACTTTGTTGACTGGCCCTGAAAGAAACGGAAGGAAGGAATGAGTACTTAGAAACGGGAACCTTCTAAGCTCCTGCAGCCCTGCTGTGCTGTTTTCGGGCTGATGTCAGAGCAGTGGCTGGCTGAGGCAGCCTGGAGTAGACTCACAGGTTACTAGGCAGGAAAGGAAGGTGTTGGGAAACCAATTTCCTTGCTTTCAGGATTTTACCAACCTGTATACCCACAGGCAGTCAGTTATTTTCAGCTACGCATTTTTCGTTAACTGTAGTGGAATATGTAGCATTAGCATCAAAAGGAAGGACTAATATGTATACCATAGGCAAACCAGTTATATCATAATTTATTGGGTAACTATTATAGATACTAAATATCTGTCATCTCCAGTCCATAGAACAAATCACAAGGTGGTTTTTATTATCCCTGTTTTACAGATGAAAGTGAGAATGAGGTTTCTTAACTTACCATTGGGTGAAGTTGGGGTTGAAAAACCCCATTCTTCCTGAATCCATTGCCTATTCTTTCCCACTTGGAAATATCCAAAACTGAGATGTTATAAGGAGTTGAATTGTACTTGAAGATAAGGTTCCTTGGGAGGACAGACGAGACCCACTTACTTAATAAGGGTCAGACCCAGTGTTACTACAGATTTCTGAATCCCAGTGCCAAACACCTCTCGGTGTGACTGTTTGGTACTTTATATATGCAATATAATCACCTTAGTACTGGTAGGGGATCATTTGCTCTATTTCTTCACTCAGAAACAAGGAGTCACATTATTTTTTTTATAAATGGTGGCAGTAAAGTTTAGGTTTAGTTCTGTTTAATTTGACCTAACTTCAGTTACGGTTGAACTTGATTGCTGTTAATATAATTTACCTAGAAGGAGGTCATTTGAGAGTAGGTGGCAATAAAATTCAAGGTGAAGAATTCCAGAAATTATATTTGTATACTTCTACCAAAAGGAGGAAGAATTTATTTTAATCAGATTGAATACTCTCTCCCCAAGAGAGACAATTAGAATATTTTAAAAAATCACAAGCTCATTGTAAAATAGATAAGAAAATACCAAAAAGAAAATAAATAAAAATTTAAAAATTAATAAACTCATCGTTCTACAACCCAGGGACAAACATGTTAATATGTTTAGTATTAAGATATGTATGTCTGTAATATTTATTTAAATATTTTCAATATTTATTTGGTTGGTCACACTGGATATACAATTTTGTATCCCCTTTCTGACATAATATTAGAACACAGTCTCACATGCCATTTTCCTCACATGCAAATCACTTATTTTTCCCACCAGTGTTAATGTTTTGGTATATAGCCTTTAAGATTCTTTCATGTATAAATTTACTTAGATATAAGTGAAATTGAGTTTTAGAGATGTAATTATGAATCACTTTAATATTAAGGCTTAAAAAATACTTGAGCAAAAATTTTGATATTTTGAGTGAAACTTTAGTAACATATTCTGGCCTCATGAAATGTAACTTACCGTAGTTCATTCCCGATACAAGTGGAATGATGGCAAGTGTGTGTCACTGGTTTAGAATGTACTGCTTATTTGTGTTTTAGAACAGAATCTTCTCTTTCCTCCTTCCAGCACTCACGAATGCTCTTCTACCACCATTCTCACGTGTCTCTCTGTTAAAGACGTATGTGATGTTCTGGAGGCTGGTGGCAGCGGGGTCAGGACTCCAGCAGCAAGCTGATAGAAGGCCCAGGGGTGGGGAACTGTGATGTGAGGAGTGTAGAGTTGGAAAGCCTTCTCAGAAACCACTGGGCATTCTTAGGGGACAGGCAGAACAAGTCTAAAACGGGCATTGTCACCAAATGGAAAGGCATTCCGCCTTCACACTGGTGTCGCTCATTAGCATATCTGGGCTTCTTTCTAATCTGTTTTGCCTCAGAAAACCCTTACAGGAATCTTTGATGATATCCCAGGCAGTTATTTTGGCGTTATCATTTAGTTTCACAACTTCAGTCTGAACTGTCTTTTCCTCTCAGTTTTCCTTACTAATCAGCTATATGGTTTTGTTTTGTTTTTTCAGTAATTGACTGTGTAATTAAAATTGTACTGTTTCTCTTGGTTCTTTGCTTGTACCAAGTGATTTCATTGTTGTATAGCTCCTCTGAGGCAAACAGCAGTGATATTTGGGTGTAAGTAATGAAGGAAGGGGTGATCAGAGGTGACGTGCTTAGAATTGATGAGAAAGGACAAGCGAACCTACTGCCAGTTGAAACAATGAGTCAGCAGGCTTCTTGTCCATTTATCTACTTCATTGCTACTTAATTCTCTCCTTGTGAGACCATTTAAAAGCTTGAAACTAGAACTGAGATACTGTAGCCTCTCTGTGTCTACGATATAATGCTTTTAAAAAATAACTTGTGTATAATCAGAAACAAATTTAGAAAATTCAGAAAAGTATAATAAAGATTACCTAGAGATAGCTGTATCTATTATATTTCTTTCCCATTTTTAAACCTTATTTTTATTGTCAATACTTGTAAAGATATTCCCATTTTCCCCTCATTAGCCCACCTCCGCCCAGCCCCAGCCCTCTGTCCAGTTCTTACTTTTATTAGAAGAGTAGAGTATAAGTTCATTATCAAATATTTGGAAAGCACAGAGAATTAGAATTAGAATTAGAAAGTATAGCTGGAGAAAAACTCATCGTTCTACAACCCAGGGGCAAACATGTTAATATGTTTAGTATTAAGATATGTATGTCTGTAATATTTATTAAAATATTTTCAATATTTATTTGGTTGGTCACACTGGATATACAATTTTGTATCTCCTTTCTGACATAATATTAGAACACAGTCTCACATGCCATTTTAAAACTCATAAAAATTTCTACCTGTTGTTTCATCATATTGCTATAACGTGACTTACCTGTTTCATAATTTTTGGAAATTAGATTGCTCATATGTTCAATTCATTGAACATTTTTGTGCATAAATTTTACCCACGCTTCAGGTTACTTCCTTAGATTGGTTCCTGGAATGAGCATATTTAAGACTCTTGGCATATCATGTCAAAGTGCCTTCCACTTCCACTGGAGGGGTACTCAATAAATATTAATGGAGAGTGAAAAGCTGTCTGCCAGAATATATCATTCTCATAGAAGAGGCTGATAACACAGTGAACCCACAAGAATGGAGTTCTTGCTTCTAGGATAATCCAGGCATGGACAAGGGTTGAGTAAATTTATGCTGGCTATTTAAATGCAGCAGCTCTTTAGAGAGCTTTTTATAGAACCAACTTTGAAGAACAGTTTTTAGTACCATAATTTGAATGTATATATGTGACCAGCCTCTTCTGAAGGGGATTAAACTCTTCCCAGTCAGTGGTATATGGGCATTGTTATAGAAAGAGGACTACTGTATGTTTTGGACCATAAGACACACCTAGGTTTTAGAAGAGGAAAATGGGGGGGGGATTTTGAAGCAAAAAATGTGGTAAAATATTTAATGACATAAATAACAGTATTATACCAATATAAATGTAAACAGAACTCAACAGCAGCATTAACAACCATTATTCCTCCCAAATGGGGAGGTGCATCTTATAGTCCAAAAATTATGGTAAAATAAATATCCCGATAGAAAAGAGGTATTTGGAGAGAGTTGGGATTTGGCTACCTGCTGCACTCTGTGGTGGAGGTCTTGATCAGTTCCATGCTCCTCTCCTGGCCTTGAAGGTTAAGAACAGGGTCCCAGTCCACCTTTTGGCAACCATTTTCCTTGGTATGTCCCACCCACCCCTAGCAAAACTGAAATTATTGCTGATTAAACCCTACTTCTGCTTTGTGGTATTCCTTTTTGATGGCCTCTGTTCATAATTCCTTCCGCTTGAGATCCCCATGTACTCCCTGAACCCTCCTGCATTTGTTGCTTCTGGGGGAGTGAGGTTGATTGTTTAAAGTTCTAAGTGTTATCAGAAAAGGCCAGCCAGTAGTATGTGGCTTCTTGACTTTGTACAGGAAAGATTTTACAACACAAGTCCAAGTGATTTTTGAAAATATATTTACTAAAGCCAGGGACAGTGGAATGAAAAAGGGCTTAGGTTATTGGAAGCAACAAGAGAGCCTTAAGGGGGTTGCCTTGAGTCTCTGGAAATGTTATAGGAAAGAAATGAGCCTTGGCAGGACTGCTTTAGCTCACTAGGAAGTCAGAGAAAAGGGGGCCTTGGGGACAGAGTCAGAGGTTAGCCCTGGAGGAGCTGCTGCTCCCCATTGCTGCCTGGTTGCAAACCTCATGGGGTCCCTTAGAGTTTAGGAGATTCATGTCTATGAGGTTGCAAACCTCATGGGGTCCCTTAGAGTTTAGGAGATTCATGTCCATGGGGGAAGTAAAAGGGGAAGGAAACTGTGGGGTGTGCTTCTGGGAGGGAGAGTGAGTGCTGGGGTGTTCAGTTTGAGGGGTTTAAAGGAGGGGGTTTAGGAGAGGTCTTACAGGAGGATCTCAGTAGAATATTCATCAGCTTTATGTGGATGTATCAAAAAGAGATTTATTTCCTTAACTT